TCTATATCATCCACATCTTCATCCAGATCCTCTCACTCACACCTTTTGATTGTTCCAGAGGTCAGAGCTAAAAGACATGTAGATGCAGCCTTTGTTAATTATGCCCCTAAAGTCTGGAACAATCTGCCTGAAGATCTTAGAGACACATCTTTTTATGACTGCTTTCTCCTGAAATATATTTTTAACTGATGGTTGGTTTATCTTGTCTTAGCCTATAGTTTTAATTAAATTTTACTTTATCTTTTATTACCTTTTTGATTACCCTTTATCTTTTTTTCTCTATCACAAATGTTTTTGATTGGCTGTTATGTTCAGCACTTTGTGTTACATTTTATGCATGAATTGTGCTAAATAAATAAAGTAATAATAAAGTTATTATATAGAGCCACAAATATTGTAGATGGCAGTTTGCATATATTACCACTCTGAATGCTAGGGTTTCAGAATATAAATATCTTGGTATCTGGCTGGATCGAAAAGTTAAACTTAAATTTCACATTAACACACTTGTCATCAAGCTGTGATAACAAAAAAAAGAATATTTGTACAGACACAGAATTTATTTTTCTGTGCTCTGCAAGAAGCAGATAATTAAAGTCGTCTTCTTGTCTGTCTTGGATTACAGTGATTACAGTGTTATCTATAGACATGCCTCTGCCTCCACTCTTAAACCCCTAGAATCAGTTGATCATGCTGGCTCACTGTCGCACTGTCATGGTTTACTGGGACACTTAAATAGAAAAGAGCCAATGTTAATGTAATTTGTAACATGTGCTTTTCCTTCTATAAAAAATTGAAATCTCAGCTGTGAAGACGACCTTCCTGAATTTATTTTTTCTTGGGGAAAAAAAATAAAATGTTTTAATATCTTTGGACGTTTCAAATATTCCTACACAAGCTCACATGACGTGGCAAGAAGATTTTAAAAGCGTTATAATCTATTCTCCAAGTTTAAAATCACTTAATTCTTTGGATTCTGTAACTTATTATTTGGCACTTACTTGATCCATTGCCTAAAACCTGAGCAAATTGGCCTCATTAAAAACATGCGAAGAAGGCAATGAGCAACCAAAGAAGAAATGACCCAAAAAATTAGCAAGAAATTAGTAAAGAAAAAATTAAAAACAATAACATTTGTTTCAAAAAAGAAAGAAAGAAAGTTAAAAACAAACAAACAAGGAAATGACCTGGAAAGAGTGCTTAATATATATATATATATATATATATATATATATACATACATATATATATATATATATATTTACTTATAATAATCCAGTACCATATTTTTTTTTTAAATAATTGTCTTTTTTTTCTTTCTGCAGTTTGTTGGACATTTCTTACCAAATTCCTTATTGCCCTTTTCCCCATGTTTTTGAAATAAATTGCAACAATTTGCTCAAGGTTCAAAAGCTCAAATACTTGCAGGCATCTGAAAGCAACACAAGAAAAATTATGTTGCTCCAGGTTTCGAAGGTTAAATGCTTCCAACCTGATGAGAGGCGGCCTCAGAGCTGTACTCAGTTCAAAACATGACTCTATTAAGCAATGAAACCTCGGTTTTGCAAACATTTTGTGTCAAATAATCTTCTAGCAGTAGCCCTAATCTCTTAATGTTTAAAATTCTTTAATGGCACTTTACTCTTGACAACTGAATAAGGTCAATATATTATGTTCCTCATAGTTTCATGTTTCACAAGCATAATGTCCTGTTTGATCAACTAGAAGTGTGTCCTCGATAAAAGTGCTGCAGGTATTATCTTCATAGAATTGGCAGAAGTTCCTCCTGCACACAGACTAAATATAGGTAGAAATATTGCATGCTTAAACTGTTGTTGTATTAGTTACTGCTGTCAGGGCGTTTTTATATCGATGGCTTTAAACACACTGTAGAACACAATGTAAGCAGGACAAAGTTAATGTTGCTGGCACTGTCAGATCTCTTTGTAAAATAAGTGACACATCAATGAATGGAAATGACCACCACACATGCCCCACAAAATGGGATAGTGGTCAATTGTGAAATAGGCTAGCAGGCCAAAGCTTAGTCAGGGTTAGTATGATGTAAAAATGGCTTCAGGCTGACGTGAGGCTGAGTAAGACCCATCTGCTGCCCTCTGCTCTTCAGCTACCACTAAATGGATTAAGTGCTGCGCACATAGCTCTCATCTAGCTGTGTGTGTGTGTGTGTGTGTGTGTGTGTGTGTGTGATCAAGGCAGTGGCGGCATCATGTCTTAAAGAAGGCGCTCACAGTGCAGTCTGCTGCGTTTCCGCTCAGCCAGCTGTTGCTGTCTGCTGTGTCATCCACCTGCTACTGTCTAGACACCATCACGATTTAATACATTAGATGGAATATGGAATATCCTGACAATAACTGTAGTAGCCTACATATGTCGGCTGCATGCTGATACTGTTGACAGTCACAATGTTGAGGATTTAGTGTTGTGCTCAGGGCTACATGACTGAGGGGATAGCACTCATTCATTCGATTCCCTGACACTAATCCCTAAACCTTTGACCTGCTGCCGTCACAAGCAAAACACCATTTAATTTAAGAGCAATTAAATTACCATGGACAGTGCAAAGCAATTTGTACGTGTGTTTACTCTCCCCAGAGCCACACAATTCTAATACATTTGTAAACTTAAGAGAGAATAAATCATCAAACCTCTCACACTTAATAAGCCTTTAAAAAACAGCTGTAAGTCAAGACTTCAGATATTACATTTTCACAAAGATATAAGTGGAAGTACTGCCACTAAAGTGTGTTACAGAGCAATGAAGCATCTGGTCTATTGTCTCAGTGTGTTTTGTATCTGAAAATCTATTTATTCTTCATTCCACAACTTTTGACAAATAGCCTCACACCACCTAGTAAGGTAATAATTAGATTTTCTTTAAAGTTTAAGAGTACTGCACACTTACAGGTCCTGTGTGTAGGATTTAGGGGCATCTTTTGGCAGAAATGGTATACAATATTTATTACTATATTTTCATTAGTGTGTAATCACCTGAAAATAAGGATCATATTTTTTCATTACCTTAGAATGAACTCAACTCCTACATCCTCTATCCTCGATCACTTGACTCGGAAATCGATCAAGACTCGGCATCTTGTAGGACGTCTCAATACGTTAAATGCACTTGGAGGAGTCGAGGAGAGAGGAGGATTTCAGAGGGGAGCGAAGCAAGGATACAGGAGTGCAACCTTTGCGGAGGCCTTTAACTGACCAACAGTTACTGACTTATCCGATACATCCCAACATCACTGGAGTTTCATACAGAGTGAAGACAGATAACAGATTAAACTCAAATGTATCACTGCCACGTTTTATTTTTTATTTGTTCTCTGATTCACCATCGAGTTAAAAATCTGAACAAGGAAAGGAAACAAATGACTTTCTTCATTTATTAGAAAGATTTTTCTCTTCACGATCTGTTATTTCCGTCATCAACTTTAATTATGGATACAATCAAAGTCAGAGAGTCTGTCTGTCATTAAGAAACACTTTGACATCAGTGACAGTCATTTCCATTCAGTCACACTGAGGCTGACCATTCCTGAGAGTTGGGTTGATGAGTTACAGAATTTTAATTTTCCCTGAAACATTTGACCTATTAAATTATTTCCATTTCAAAGACATCGCGATCATATTCTGGGTTATTAAATAATGAACTCTCAATCAGAATATCAATAAATACAGATGCAAATAATGAATAAATCATATAAACACATTGTGTGACTGAGCAGGACACAGGACATTTTATAAATACAGAACACAGGTGGTTGATTAGCATTGTTCTAAACTATGCAGTGTGTGGAGTTAGGCTCAGACCTGGGGATGATGTTAGATTTAAATCAGAACTCCTCAAACTGCTTTGAAAGGTCCATGTAACCTCCGCTTCTGCAGATTTGTTTTGTTTTGTTTTGTTTTGTATTTTGTATGATTTTATTTAAAAAAGAAAAACAACTATTTCAAACCAGGAAAAAAAAAAAAAATTTATTCAGAGATTAGCCTATGTTTTAGTTATCAACTATGCCATTCAATGCTACTCTCAGACAACTGGTCAATTGACAAATCCAATCTGTTTTCATTTTTACAGAGTATTTGGAATCAGAGTATCATCAGCAATGGTATTACCTCACTCCTTCACAGAGACACAACAATTACCCATGAGAAAGCCAAGTCCATCTTTAAAAAGTGCTTTAAGATTAAGTTAGAAGAAAGTCAAATAGTATCATGGCTTTATCAAGGTTAGACTAACCTACTGTGGTTGTAGGATGTAGGATTAAAGTTATAGACTGTTCCTTTAGACTCTCCAAGTTAATTTGATCTGTACTGCTGTACAGGAGCAACATGACGTACAGGGACTTCAGAGTAGCTGTCCAAATGAAGGTAAGTTAGAAGGAGGGTCAAGGTGAAATGAACTGTAGGGAGCAGAATGTTTTTCCGTGAGGAACAGATGGCACGTTGAGATTAGACAGCTGACCTGCTCACGGCTTGGCTGATGGTGTTGGTGTGTTCCCCTGATGCCCCACAGCAAAAAATAACAAGCTTTACCTGTGATATTAATGTAAGTTCCTACCAATCAAGCTTATAACAGGACACTTCTGGTCAGATTTATTTCCCAACATAATAGTCTGGTTGTTTTCAATACATTTCAGTTTTTGCGCATGATACAGAAGACAAACCTGATTTTAAGGGGAAAAAAACATAATTAAAGTCTAGAAACACATTTCATGATCATGACTCAAAGGATATTTTGCTCAGAGTATCTTAAAATGAATGGAAGCTTCACAGTGACATTGTATTTTTGCATTGGGGATGTCCTTTGTTAACTCCCTGCAGAAATCTAGTGCTGTCTCTGGAAAGCAGCAGCCTGAGGTCAGATTAAAACTGTTAGCCACGTGTGACCCAGGTTGGAGTTAGGGCTTAGGGACAGATCAGTGACTGAGGATATATAAACCAGCTCAAACACTGAGTGTGTCACACACCAAAATCACTGTTTCTTTGAGGTCGTCTCTGACTGCAGGACTGGCAGCGTCAAGAAACACGAAATAGGAGGATAATTAATTTGCTTTAAAATCAAAGAGGACTTTAAGGATCAAAGATCTCCAGAGGACATTTGCTCTGCATCTACTGCACATCTCCTTTATCTCTGTTGTGGTCTACTCTGCATCAGCAGCCATGGTACTGGAGGACAACGAGAGCGACTCTGTCTTCGAGCCTCAGATCACTGTGAGTATCCAAGAGAGATTAAGTTAACCTTTCTGATAGATTTACGGCTGCAGATGTATCCTTGTGCAAATTTAAATGACTTTAACGTCAACACACACACACACACACACACACACACATATGTGTTTTCAGGACATAACAGGACTTATGACTAAAATGTGAAAAATGGGGACATGCCTTTCCCAAGGTCCTAGAGGCCTGGGAATCAACACACACACACACACACACACACACACACACACAGTCAAATGGGTGTAATGTTAGAAATATCAGCATCTGGTTTTAGTGCACATGAAAAAAAAAACACTGCTCTAATCTACTAAAATAAACTGTAAATGTATATCTTCAGCTACAAACACATACAGCAGCATGCATTATTCATCTAAATTTGTTGATTTGTTTTAGGAGGAGCATGTAGAGACTCAGTATGGGAACCTCCACTGCATCATGACAGGAACTCTGAGGGCAAACCGCCCCGTCATCCTGACATTTCATGATGTTGGACTAAACCGTAAGTCCCAACTCTCTCTGTGTGCACAATAGCCAAGTGTTTGTAATATTTGTACACTGCACACAGACATAATATACCTATATGGTAGGGAAAAATCTATCCACATTAAGATTTGTGTATCACAGCTATCTTATTTATTTGTTTAACAACAGAAACCAGATTTTCTATTTTATTTGTGTATCTGAAGACTTGTTGAATTAAGTAAAACCTCATCTCTTAGTTGCATGGAAGCATCAGAATATTCTTTCCTATATTTATTGCCCTCTAAACAACATTTTAATCCAAACTTAATGCACACTTTTTAAATGATCTGATACATTTTCATTTTCATAAATTCTTGTGTTATATTTTCTATGTTATGTTCCGCATCCCTATCAGCCTTTATCACTTTTGTGATTTGTGTTGTGTTTTTATTCTCATAGACAAGTCTTGTTTTGAGGCACTGTTCAACCATGAGGACATGCAGGAAATCGTCAGACATTTGCCAGTTTGTCACGTCGAAGCACCAGGACAACACGAGGGAGCCAAAACTTTGCCTTCTGCGTCAGTACACTGTCTTTAATACTCTCAGTCTGACATATATTAACATTTCATGCTGTATTTACATTCTTTAACATGAGCTCATAAATGATTAGATCTCGCACCTGCTGATGGTTATATTGACGTCTGACCCCTCAGATATACCTACCCTTCCATGGACCAGCTGTCTGAAGCACTGCCTGCTGTTCTCAAACACTTTGGGTGAGTCCATCTGATACTTCATAAAAACTTTTCAGTTGGCCTTTCATGAAAGGTTAGGATATTTTCAACATGTTTATTCGCACAGAGCACTAGGACTTATCTCCGTTTTGACCTTCTGTCTGTTTGCGGTGCAGGTTGCACAGTGTGATTGGACTGGGAGTTGGAGCTGGAGCCTACATCCTGGCCAAATTTGCTGTGAGTTCAAATCTCGTCTCTAAACCCCATTTGAACCTCAGACGGAGAGCGTCTGACACCTAGTTATACATAATTTTTATAGGTCTACTATTATTAGCACATATCCTTACTTAGCTGCTGCTCCTCCTGGTGTACACAGGCATATACGTACATCAGACCTATACCAGAGCTATCACATCTTTAGCTACACAGATACAGTTGCAGTTGTGGTGCCAGAGGTGGGATGACACTCTTTAAAAAACTGATAAATTTAGTCTTCGCAGTGTGTAACAGCAGCCATGGTATCCATACAAACCTCTAGACAGGGAAGAGAAAGACAGCATCCATGAAAATCTATGGCTGTAGTCTTGTCCCCTTCAGTATTTGGAAGATATGTGCATTTGTAACCCTCAAATAAAAACATGTAAGTGGCAGAAGACTTTTATTTTGACAAATTACGCCAGAAAGTGATGTGAAAAAGGCACAAATTGGTGCATAAAAATTTAACAAAATTAAGGAAATTAAGTATTTGATGCTCAAAATGTTCTAAATTTTCTTATGTGTCCCCCCCACCCCAATGTTAAAGTAAAACCTTTGCTCTTGAAGGATGCAATCTGTTTGTCTAAGTAACATGAAACACTCAAAAATTTAATTAGATAACTTCCAAAAAACATGTTGGTAAGTGTTCATGAGTGGTTGAAGCCATATCACTAACCGTTCTTCTGTGTTTGTGTTTGTGTGTGTGTAGCTGAATCACCCTGATCAGGTGGATGGATTGGTCTTGGTCAACATCAATCCCAGCGCTGAAGGACTGATGAATTCTGTTGCAAGCAAGGTCAGCAGTGTGTGTGTGTGTGTGTGTGTGTGTGTGTGTGTGTGTGTGCTGAATAAGATCATAATCTATTTCAAATATTAGGTTAATTACAAGCCATACAACTAAGTGTATTGATGTATATTAAATTACATTTGACTGATTCAGACACTTCAGTTTAATGATGCTAGTATTAGTCCCAGTTCTGCCACAAGAAGAGTAATGAGAGTGTTTGTCTTTGTGATTAATCACCATTTAATGATTATCGTAAACCTGCTGTAACATAAATACATTGTTTTGCATGTGTCATAGATCACTGAATGGACCCACACTCTCCCTGACACAATCATCACACACTTGTTTGGAAAGGTAAGTTATCAGGCTTCGATGATTGCCTTCAGTTACCATGACAACAGAAGTGGGAATACATATCTTCAAACACTAAATGTCGTAAAGACGTCTTGTAAAGACGTCTTAATATCGCTCTAACTTTCTAATGCGCTCTTTCCTCTCTGACTGATTGTTCAGGATGAGATCCAGACCAACCTCGACCTCATTGCTACATACCGTCACTACATCACAACAACGATGAACCAGTCCAACGTGAGTCAGTTCCTCCGCTCCTACAAAAACCGCACTGCTCTGGAGGTGGAGAGGCCCATTCCTGGAGGAAACATCAGTGTCAGGACCCTCAAGTTAGTACCATCATTAACCTTTAAAGAGGGCAGGAGTTGAACTGTAGGTAGAATAAAAACTGGTTCAATCTGTGTTTGAGGTTGTGATTAAGACGGCTAAACTTACTCTACAATGAAAGGTGGCGACATATTCCTGCAGAAAAGATATATATGAGTTAGAACAATAATCCCCTCACTGATCTTAAGATGCTCACTACTCACTCGCTCTGAAAGTCCTAACTATTTCATCTGTGTATCTGTTGGTTTACAGGTGTGCCAGCCTGCTGGTCGTAGGAGATAATTCTCCTGCTGTGGAGGCTGTGGTCGACTGCAACTCCAAACTCAATCCCACCAAGACCACACTGCTCAAGGTAACCAAAAGGGGAAGCAAACAAACAAATGATTATTTTTTAAAATTGAGAAAACTTTGGATGAGTCTAGTTAAACTAGTCAGCCTGTGAAGAAGTGTTCTGTTATTGTCAAATGAGAACTTACAGTAAAACAGTTTTACCTTGTAATTACCTCAATGGAAAGTCTATTAATTTAAGACCAGGTATAGGTTTTATCACGGACGGAATCTTTAACTGACCTTTGCACTTTGCTCTTCTAGATGGCAGACTGTGGTGGACTTCCTCAGGTGGATCAGGTAGGCTGTGACATTTTGTCGGATACTCCACTGGCAATACTGTAGAATCTGCGCTCCTGATCGGTTGAATATATATCCAATACTCTTTTTCTTTCTCTACACAGCCAGCTAAAGTGATTGAAGCCTTGAAGTATTTCATCCAGGGCATGGGATACTGTAAGTCACCATTAGTTAACCTTCAACTATCTTGATCTTAATTTAGAGTCATAACATGTCAGAGACCAGTTTAGGACACTGGTTCCCAGCCTGGTGGTCGAGACCCCCATTCGGGGTCGCCAAAACTTCACAGGGGGTGAAGAGGCCTTCTTGATTTGAAGGGGTGTGAAAAAAAAAATTAAAAATATGTATATCCTCCTGAGACCCTGTGTCGGACATGCCATTTTGGGTTTACTTGACCTTCTACTTCATTCTACTTAACTGAGACCTGTTGTCCTCATTCATGGGCACTTTTTTGTGCCATCTAGTGGTAGTAAGAGCACAATACACTAATCTATGTAAAAACCAGACGGCAGCCATCCCTGTCAAGTCAGTCTGCAGCCGATCCCGACACAAAAGTGGACAAAATCTGATCAAATTTTATGGCTGAAACTTGTTTATTTATGATTAATAATGTTTGTAGTTTGATATGGCGACAAATTTGACCAATTTTAGCAACAAACTACAACACAATTAAGAAGGAAGTACATTGAAACTTTATTGTCATCTTGTTTAAGGAGGCTGGGACTTAATTATTGTTAATAATGTTTTGGTTTTCATATTTATTGGGTCCTACTGATCCCAAATAGCTAGGAGACATTAAAAATCCAAACCAAACAAAAGTTTGGGTCTAAGGAGGATATACAATAGGCCTATATCTCAGCATTTCACTCATTTATGTGAAGAAAATGTAATGAAATTGTTATTTTTAAAGTTTAAATTATTATTCGAGATATAAAATCTCACAGAATAAAGGCAGAGTGAAGACCTGAACAGATGCATTCATAGAGCCTGAAGTCTCTGTGAAACAGCCTCATTACTGCATTAGAAAAGTGCATGGTTAAAACAACCACAGCAGAGCTAACAGAACAATGGTCGTGTGTCTGAGAGATTACACAAATAAATAAAATAAAATATGGGATACATGTGACAGACAGCAAATTGAAGTTCCTAAAAATGTCCAGAAAGAGCTCTGGAATAAAATTCACAGAAAAAAAAACCTGCTTAAAACTCATCTCATTGCTCATTTTACACACATTTCCTGCGATGACTGCGCTCATTATTTAGGTAATTGTACAGTTTTAGTTGTTCTGAGATATTATTGTTATGCATTGAATATAATATGAAATATCCATAAAATATGTCACTTTATCAGGGGTCAGTTTAATAGATGATAGATAAAGGGTCCCTCAGTTGTGCTGTAGCTATCAGTTGGCAAAACACTGATCAAATAAACTCTCATTAAAGACTGATGCAGTACAGCACAAACCTCTCCCTCCTCTTCCTCCAGTGTCCAGTGCCAGCATGACCAGACTCCGTTCACGGACGAGCTCCAACTCCAGCGTCTCGTCCTACGAGGGCTCCCGGAGCCGCGCGCACACCAACGACCTGCAGCGTGGCCGGGTACACTCGCGCGGCACCGAGGAGAAGCGCGGGCGCTCACACACTGACGTCTCCATGGAGAGTATTTCCAGCAGTAACGTGGACCACATCATCACAAAGTCAACTGAAGTGGCATGTTAGAGCGCACTCTGCCCTGAATCCCTTGCACTTAAATCAAACCATACCTCATTATCTCCACTTTGACAGCCTCCCTCTGTCATGCCCTTTCATCTGCACTATCTCCAGCTGAAACGTCACAGGTCCTACCTCCATGTGACTTTGCTCTACCCCCTCTGTATCCTCTTTCCTTCTCTATCCCTTCATCTATTTAAGCATCCTTCCCTGAGTTTGTCTTCTGGCATTACTCTTAGTCTATCCATCCAATTTTCTTCATCTCTATCAGCCTCCTCCTCTTCTCTGAACTCTTACTGTATGTCTCTACCTCTGCATCCTTCTTTACTTTGTTTTATATCCCTGCCCCTATTCATGTTCTTGTTTCTTTCTTTTCCTCTTCTCACTCTAGTAGCTGAGATTCTTCCTTATGCTCCAATATTTATCATGACACACACTACATGAGGAAAACACGAAGCTGAAATGTACTGAATGAAAATGTTCATAGATGTGTATCCATATAATGAAGATGTAAAGACAGAGTATGTTATAGTGTGAAAACGGGATGTTCATAACTGTAGGAATGTGTATTGATTATATGCAACTGTGACAGCTGTGTGTTCTTGGCCGCAGGATTGTGTTATGGACAAAAGTTTTAGATCACATGATGTTTTAAATATGTTTAGGAATGCTGTGTAAAATAACATCAAGACATTCAGTTCAATCACTAAAAACAGATGACCTCCTGTAAGTATCTCTTGTGTTATCAGTGATTATACATGATACTGTAAATAATTATCTAGCTGGCTTTGATTAATAAAACTACAGATGAAAACAGAAAGTGTCTAACCTTTTACTGTCACAAACAGAGACCTTGTAGATGACCTACAGCTACAAAATGTTTTAAATGACAGAAACAGTTTCTAAATAGGATTGTGATTGGTACAGTATAAGAGCAACATAGTTTTGGCAAATATTGCTCTCAGCTCTCTGTCATTAAGAGAATCACCATTCTCAAGATTGGAAAAAAGGTGACATCCCTGGCTCTGCTACTTTAATCATTACCCTTTAAAAAGAAAAAAACTGTTCAACATGACTCTGCTAGTTTTATGTGCAATACTAAATAGTTGAAGAACTCTTAAGCGACAAAAAAGACATTTGAGATTTAAGTTGCCGAGATAACTGTATTATTTCAGACGGTATTTTGAACAGGATCAGCAACCCAAACATCAGCATATCTTTTAGGAAGTTAAAGGGGGAGATCAGGGTGGCTATTCTAACCAGTGGGTATTGAAAGGTTAAGGCGTCTGCTATAAATAAATATATTTTAATGTGGTGGCTCCCAAATGGTCCAGCCACAGGGTCCAGATTTCTCCTTAGTCATTAGTTCAGCATCATACTCGCATTCTGCCATGTCGTCCAGCTGGTTTGCTGTCTCTGTCATGCAGCTGTCCGTTAGTCACTCACTCAACAACAAAAAACAGCGCTTCAAAATAAAAGCTCTGTGCTAGAAATTCACTGTACTTCAAAGTAAATCATATTTTTTACGAACTGGATACGTCCATTCAGAATGGACCCATGACCCACTTTGGGACCATGACACACCAGTAGGGAACCACTGTTTTAATGTGTACAAACATTTCCAAAAATTAGGTGATTTGTGATCAAAGTCATGTTGTGCATTTGTGCCAATCAGCCTCTTTACAGGGTATGTTGGCACAATGTTAACTTGCTATAACTACAATAAACGAAGCAACTACAAAAAGCAACTTGAAAATTTAACTCAAACAAGAACCAGTAAACATGAACATTTAATAAAATATCTACCCAATTTTAAAACCAAACATTTTTAAGCAATGCATCATTAGGACTTAGGTCTGAGCTGAATTCTCAGATGACTATCAGGTACATACGAATACAATGTATACGAGTACGAGTTGGTTAAACAATTACAGACACAAATATAGATAATGGCGTACTTGCTCATCCCTCGTAGGAATGTCTAGTTGATTTACTTTTGCAATTGATCATCCAAACTAATAATACATCGACTATATAAACTTTAAAACTTAAGAAATAGTTATAATCTCTTAAAATACAGTTACAACTCTTAATGTCACAGTTGGTTGGCACGTGGTTTGTACTCCAAATTTAGCATGCTAACCAAGCACACTCACATTTGGCCCAACTTTGTGATGAAATTATGTGAGCCAGCTACAATCATTCATCACATACCTTTAAATCTTATATCAATATGTAGCTAATTCCTCAATCTTTTAACTAGAAGTGACAGATTTCCAATATCTCTATGTAGTAATGAGCAAAAAGAGCTGCGCACTTAACATCAGTCCAAAAACTTCTTAATTCTGGTGCGGTAGTCAGAGATGAAAGTCAAAAAGCAGAAAAGGACTCGCACACAGAAAACAAATGTAGACTGAGAGTCTTAATGAAAGATCATTTTACTGGGGATCTTCACAGACAAACAAGCAGCAAACGTTTCAGTCCTCAAGGGACTATCGTCAGTGCATATAATGAGAGGTCCTAGTAGCATGGTTCTTATAGTGTAGTCTTCTCAAACAAACTTGATTGGGCACACCTGGAGCCTCTCACAGAGGGCAGGTAATCAATTAGAGGTACCAGCACTGTGTCACACATCACACCATTACAATATACATATATACAAACAGCCTTGGACAAGGAGCTCAAAGGTGAATAAGTACATCAACAGATATACATCTGTACTCTGGCTTGGGGACTATTAGGGTCAGACTAGTGCACACAGACAGACCTACAAAAAGCAAGACATTTCTAATTCTTCATTTAGCCCACTGGGTTGTAAGGTTTTGAAATAGTAAATGTATTTGCATTCACATTGTAGAAGCATTTGGTCCACATTGCCACCACGACGTTTGGGAATTATCATGTCAATGCCACAAAATATCAGATCAGAGAGAGAATGATTATCATCAGCAAAATGCCTGGCCACAGCTGATTTAGGATCAGCGCGGCGAATGGAGCTTTTGTGCTCATTGATTCTTAGTCTCAGTTGTCTCCTAGTTTTACCAATATATTGGATGCCACATTTGGTGCATACAAGAAGGTAGACAACATTTGTAGAGTTGCAAGTTATCATTTTGTTTATTTTGTATTCATTTTTGGTAATAAAACTGGTAAATGTGTTAACCTTTTTGACATTAGAACAAGAAGCACAGTTGCGGCATGGGAAAAAGCCTGTGGCATTGTCCAGACGTCTCTGGTGGGGGGATTTTCTATGTGTGTCTGCATGCATTAGTGTGTCCCGAATGTTCTTGTCTCTGGAAAAGGAGAAAAGGGGAAGAAAGTTAAATATCTGTTTTCCAACATCATCAACAGACAGAACATTCCAGTGTTTTTTCACTACGGTACACTGTGACCTCCAAAGGACCAGAAAATAGCTATGAGCTACTTTGTTTTCAAAGAAAATGGTAATCTGATTACATTAATCTTTATATTTGCCACACCAAAGGTCAGTGTTGTCCATCAACATTGTTTTGGTCTCTTTTCTGTGATTCAATTCCCCAGATGCGTTCGTGATAAGAAAACGACCTTGTGTCACGATGGTGGAAGAAGGAAGAAAAACTGTGGTTTCCTCATCATCACAGCTGATACTACGTTTATGTTCTCAACCACATTAGATTTTATTAAATCCTTAAAAGGATGTTCATCAAGTCATGCTGTAAAGAGATTATTCTTTCTTTGATGTTAATGACTGTGCACTTATATTTTTGGATTACTTTAATGACATTGTGGTGGCTAAATCGTTAGAAGAGCCAACATGTTTCGAGTTCTGCAAGATTTCGTCAGGGCTTTCAAAGCATACACCACAGGTATGGCCCTACCTGTATAGTAGCAGGAATCAATAGGAGGCCATCACATGACCCAAATAATGACTTGACAGATGAAACACATACAAAACAACAACAATAAAAAACAGACAGCGACATGAGATGAGATACCCAGTAAAAATAAATCTAAATATATAAACACACCGTAAGAAAGTAGGGTTGCATTGCTTAAAAACAAGTGTACCTCTCCAATCTGTCCACTAGATGGAGCTCTATAACCTCTTCTGATCACTTGTGTCAACAGCAGGCTCACACAACTTATCACATTATGTAGCAAAAAAACATTCAGGACACATTTTGCTCAATCCAAACTAAATGCAAATCACATAGAAATGTCCTGCATCTGCTGAGTATTTACTATCACTCTTAACAGCATTTTGGATCTTTTTAAATATCTCTTATGGGTCATATTTAGTCTTTTCCTTTCCATATTTAAGTGTATTAAAGTGTTTTTCCCATCCCTGAACATGGTCCCTGGCATGCACACTCACATACCATTGTTTGCCTGCCTATTCTGGTCCAGTTTAAGATATATAACTATATTTTTATTGTTTAAAAAACATCTCATTATGTGACAAACTTGTGAAGATATCAGGTTGGAAGGTGGCTGGAACATTTGCAAGTCTTTGGCGAATAAAGATGGGAGTGCTGGACAACATCATCCCAAATGACTTCAGTACTTTTATTGTGCTTTTCCTTTTAAAATCTAGCAATAAATCTCAAACTGTTATTAAAGTCTATCGCTCTATTTGTTTAAAGAATTTTAGAAGGGAAATAAAATATTGAGACATCCAAATTCTTGTTTCCCCCTGCAAAACAATTTCTTTGGCCTCCTGTATTCACATAAGCAAAGCTGCACCTACATCAGACACAGTGTTGAGCCTGTTGTTCCTGTTGTAGCTTAAATATATGTGTGATACACAACCTCTCTACCTACAGTGTGGTTTTTACTGCATAGAGTACAGAGTATAAGGCAGACTGTGATCTGCAACTGGCTCAAGGTCGATTCATCCTTTCCTTTCACTCCCATACTGTTTAATTAGATTCAATTTAGACTAGACGTAATATGTTTTTCCCGATAGCTGCCAAGCTGAATGACTGCCAGAAAGGGTAAATGTGGGGTACACTGCTGGCCCAGCACACACCATGTCACTATGACGTCACAAGTTTTAATCCACCTAAGTGTCTCCCTCCCTCGCGCCATCATTTGCATAACTCTTCTGTGGATAAAAATAATCTTTGAACTGTGTGTGTGTGTGCGTGTGTGTGTGTGTGTGTGTGAGAGAGAGAGCTGCATGCATGAATGTACTGTATGTGTAGGTGGGACTGTGGGCCCATCAGTAGATGGATTGTTTTGGGCTGTGACTTCGAGACAGTGGAGACACACAGACCCAGCACAGCATAATAACAGTCAGCATCAAAGTCACAATAATTTTGTTTGTGTGTGCGCGCATGTGTGTGTGTGTGCTTGGGGAGCATCTTTATTTCAAAGCTTCTTTTGTTTGGCTTACATTATGACACTACGATGAATAATGTATGACAGAAATCTCTGAAGATTTCATTTAAACATGAGACATCAGCCCTTGCACGACTGTGGGCTCTTACACGTATATTCTGTTTCCTATTATTTCAATCTGCTTTGGCGCACTGGGCCGCATCACACAAACACTAAATCCTGTACATTTCCATCCACTTTAGTAGACATTTGTGATTTGTCCTACAAGGTGGATTTGATGGCTGCCCTGCCAGCACAGTGATTACTAGCCCAAAGTGGGGCCGACAAAGTGGAGAGCAATTTAATTTCAGCTTCAGTCTGTAACATATTGCACAGTGAGATAATGGCTATTTTGTCCATGGACGTTCGAGCCCCCCACTACTTTTAATTTCTTACCTACAGCAGGGCAGTTTTGATCACTGACTGCAAGTCCGTTTATATAACTTTTTATTCACCTCAATCACCAATGAGGCAAAAAGACATCATTATAAATAAAAAATGTGGCAGTTTGACAGTGGCAATGGCAGTTTTGCTCCCACATATACATTAATACTTGGTACTGTGAATATCTGATCATTCTTTGACCAATTTTGCACATTTCTGCACAAATTGACACTTTTAAAAACTGCACTGCTCTTTCCTTTTAATTCAAATATACTGCACATACTTTTATTTTTTTCACATTTTTGTTATAATTTTCCTCTATTCCATATTTACGTTTACTGATTTTTGCCTTACTTGCTTTTATTTTCATTGTCCCTCATTATCTTCATGTTATTTATTAATATACCACAGCACAGTCCTTGTATGTGAAAACCTACTTGACAAAAAAAAAAAAACGGACTCTGACATTGTGCAGTTTATTGAAAAAGAACACTGCTCTGACACCCCTTTTCATAAATACACACACCACACAAAAAATGAAAATCAAATAAATGTATGCAGCATATGTTAACAAATATTGCTTTTGACTTAAAGGTCCAGTGTGTAGGATTTTTGGGGATATATTGGCAGAAATTGAATACAATCAGTATGTTTTCTTTAGTGTATAATCACCTGAAAATAACAGTCATATTGTTTTCATTATCTAAAATCGACATATAGAGAAGGTCTTCTTTCATGGAGTTTGCTATGTTGCACCACCATGTTTCTACAGTAGCCCAGAATGGACAAACCAAACACTGGCTCTGGATAGGGTCATTATGTTTTTGAATTTTTGAGTTTCTGCACGGCCATCACAGTTAGCAGCTTCTCCATGTCAAGTCCAACTGAATTGGAAAAACACAGATTTATTTATTTTTTACATTAAACTGCTTTAATCAGTGTTTTTACTGGTTGAAATCCCCTGATCTGTTTGTTTTAGAGAGGAAGAGACCTCTGTGGATAATTCATCCCTTGGTAAAAACCTCCTGAACAATGAACACCGGAGGAACTTTAAACAGGAGTTCACGTTTAGCACATGGGAGAGAAGATTCAGTTGGTTGCAATGTGCAGTCCTCGCCACTAGATGTCACTAAATCCAACACACTGCTCCTTTAACCCAGTAACATTTTCTATTTTAATGTTTATGTCAAATATATAATGTAATATGGTCACATATGTATGTAGTGCTTTACATATTTTCTTTTGCTACTGTAATTTTGTCGAGTAAGCCCATGTTGTGTCAGCCCGAGGGCTTCCCTGAAGTGATGTATAAAACACGTATTTCGCTTCTTTCACTGTTTTTAAATGTAAGCTGATAATAAAATAAGTGACAACCTGAGTGTCCTGGTGTGAGTGGAACTTTTATTCTTTTTGGCACCCAGGAGCTGTGCACAGGCTTTCTCTGATTATTTTGGCTCCCCTTTGGTGTAACCTCCAGTTTTAATTCAATTTTACTTTGTTACGCTATTGTTATAATCATTTTTTTTACGGCTTATGTCCCCTTTTAATCAATATTTTTTATTAGGAATAATAGTTTCATGCTGTCTGTTTTTATGTGTGTATCCTGTGTCCTGTAATTAGCACTGGTTCATTAGGTTTATCACCATGTGAGCTCTGGTGTTTTCCCAGATTTTATGGACATTTCTGGCGACTGAGTCTTTCAGTTGTGGAACCTACACGTGCCATAATTGACAGCATTAAATTCAAATTTAAACTGTAGCTGGCAATATTATTTTCTCATACTGCAGGAGATAATAAATATTCATTACTCCCTGTTTAACCAATGTAAAGACACTAATCACAGTCATCAATTTGATCACTGCTGCACAGTGCAAAGTAATTTATTTGGAGTAAACTGAGACTGGAGAGCTTCACCCTCCATGACATCATTTGTCAAGATAAATGGAGGAGGCTAATGTGAAACAGGGGTCTTACATAAAAACATTGGGGGGACCCTTACAGCAGCAGCAGCAGCAGTGGACACGTAGGGCCCCTCTCCTCTCCTCTCCTCTCCTCTCCTCTCCTCTTCTCTCCTCTCCTCTCCTCTTCTCTCCTCCTGTCAGTGAGCCCAACCAGCTGCAGCCATGTTGGAAACGCTCAGGCTCCTCCAGCAGCAGCAGCAGCAGCAGCAGTGCTAACAGCTAGCGTCAGTGGACACCGACTACCGGGCACGGCGCTGTTGAGGACAAAAACAGACAGGGAGAGGGACTCATAACGGAGAGATACAGCCACCAAGCCGGTTGTGATATCAACGTGTTTATGAATATAAAATTAAACCTCACTGGCTGGTAGAGCTGGCTGGTTCCGGGGACTAGGTGCGGCCGGGCTCCGGGGCTGAAGCGGGTGAGTATTGATCCTTCTGGGGGGCGGATTAAATGGGAATAGCCCACCGTTAGCTGAGCTAGCTTAGCATTAAAGGGGGTAACACACACAGACAATGGGGTTAACGCGAATGCAATACGCGGGGGTGTGTGTATATGAGCTGGTGTTAGGATTTAAGATGAAATATGGTGGAGTGAATGACAAGAAATACTGGTCATTTTGACACCGCGGAGTCATTTGTATTCCTAACAGACCGACAGTGGTGCAGTGGCCGAAACCACCCCTCTCTGTTTCTCTGCTTAGGTGCAAAGGTCCAAGCCAAGGAGGATTTCTGTCATGCAGGGACGAGGCGACACCGCCGTGGTACAAACATCTGTGTTTTAATGAATAACGAGCTGCTCAGAATGAGACTTATTGTTGCAAGCAGCGGTTTTGAGACAAAAGGGGGGCAGCTCTTACTTAACCTGTGCGTCTCAAGTGTGTTTGGCTGCTTGCTGCCTTGTCAACCACAATACTGTACACACTTAAAGCTGTGGTAGGCCGAGTGAGATGCAGGCACAGATCATTCACAAGCATGCATGATGGGATTAAAATCAAATTTTAGGTGCACTGACAACATTTGCAGAGCTGGCATGGTGTGGAGTTTGGCACCCTGCAGCCCTGTGGATGTGATTTGTCAGATTTTCTTTGGGGTGTCAGGGGTTTGGGAGTCAAAGCTGCCCAGTCATGACAGATTTCTGTTTTCCTTCCCATTTCCCCCACTTGTTTCCTTCCTTTATGTGACTGTTACCCCTGATCACATCTCTGCAGACACCCCCTGCATGCCAAACTGGAGGGTCAGGACCCCAAAGCCCTGAGATGTTTTGACGCCGATTGTAGATACAAAACAATCTTTGACATTGACTGACAACTAGATGAAAACATATTGTATTCTACTCTAGAGTAGCAGCCTGACAAAGCAGGTATCGGCTTTCTTTCTAGTGTGTAACCTGAAAAGGTGATTCAATTCTGCTTATTGCACAGCATCTACTTACAGCTGTTCCTGTAAAAAAGATTCGACAGTGTTTTTTTGTAAGTGAGTTATCAAGAAATTGGACTTACGGGCATTCTCGTGAAGTCATTACCCTTCGAATAGATGAACACAAGCACTTTACATTGTAGCTATTACTGAAAGTCTAGTTAATGTTTGCTTGATTGCATGTCCAGTCAGTGCTGTGATTCATTGCTTTTCCCCAGGTGTTGTGTACTCAGATCTGCAGTCAGATAAAAACCCTGACTCTTGCACATCAGTAATTTGGCACCATCTCTTTTATGTGATTTCAATTAAATGTCTGATTATTGTTGACATATGAAGAATCCCTCTCACTTTAAATTGCATTTGTTGGTAGAATCATAATTTCTAAACACGTGCTATTCACACAACAGATGAAGGAGAGCTTGCACTCTGCTGTGGCTTTGTTTCTCTTCTGCCTCTGTCTGTTCTCCTCGCCTCCTCTCCCATTTCTTCCACTAATCTGAAGAGGCAGGGATGAGGACAGAAACATTGAGGATGTTGGATCAATCTTTACACCCGTCTGTTTACAGTCGGGGAAAGATAAGGATGAGAGACAGAGTAGTGGATAAGATGGGAGGCGAAAGGAGACGTGGTGGGAAGATGTTTAGGAACGAGAGCCCAGGAGAAGGAGGCAGCAGTTTGGGAATGAAACTCAGCCCTCAGGTGTGTCTCTCTGATACAATCAGTGGGTGGGTGTTTCCCTTCTCCTATAAGTGAAAGCGTACAGTACAACTAGGAAGTGGAGAGACAGAGCAGGAACATATATGCGTCTTTTGCCTCGCAGAGGTTCAGTCCTCTGTGTACCAACTGCCAACATGCAGTTCTGGGATTTCCTGGGCTGCACCAATGGAGGTATGAACGTGTTCAGTCATACTGATTGCTCGGGGAGCATGTTGGGCTGTGGTTGCTGGTGTATGGGTGCTCTGTGCTAGGCAGGTAGAGTGGGGCTGGAAAGGAATTTGCGCTACTCACCTCCGTGCAAGCAGTTGCATGTGAAAACCCTCACAGACAGGTAGAGAGTGGAGCGCAAACAAAGACGCTGAGGGCTCAGATACAGTGTCAGCCTGCTCTGCTTTCCTTTGATAAACCTGGTTGGTTGCTTCTGACAGTAGATTTGACAAATGAATAAATTGGCACGATTTGTTTGCGTCTGTTGCCCTGGATGTTTTTGGATTTTGCTCACAAGGCTTGCCTCCGTGAAACGTGTGTGAAATGAAACGTGTGCTGCATGGAGTAGTCTTCTTCTTTTTTTTTTTTTTTACTTGTTTAGCTGTCATTTTATGTTTCTATTATTTGACTGGTAAGCAATATTAAATTCCCACAGACCTAAAGATGGAGGATGACAGCCAGTACTAAAACACTTATTACTATCACTCCAGCTGTTACTGACTGACTATCACTGTGACTGTGACTGTCACACTTCTTTGACACTGGTACCTATGACAATAAAAAACACAAGACTGACAGCTGTAATATAACAACCTGCTTATTCATAGAAATCAGTTCAGCTGTAGGTACGATGATCTTTAAATTTATTACCCTTATTGGCCTCGGTAGTGTTTTTTTTTTTACGCCCCGATAATGTCTCCTTTGAAGTCATCCTTTGCATCTAAACGTACATTCACACACTCAAAAAAGGCACACAGTTATAGTGGTCAAAACAATTCAGGATAACAATTATATCTATAAAAAAACTGAAAATAATAGTAAAGCTATCAGTCCAATTCATCATAAACTTTGTTTGTTGCGTGTTTTTTCTCTATTTGGGTAATGAATTACCCGTAAAATTCGAATGTAGGAAGGTGGAGAGGGAGACACTGTGAAAATGGAGCTGGATTATTTACATGTTATTATCATATCTGTATTTGTAACATTATATCAATATTATTTAAAACTATCACAGTTGTCGTCAATACTGGAATATAGTGACACCCTTGTATGTGGCTCACATCTGTATTTTAGTTGTTTACCGCACAGAGACACTGTTAGGAATCCGATCTCTCGACTCTTTCGAGGCAGCACTGTCTGGTCAGACCTGTACAACAAAGAGTTAAACATCAGATTTCTGTTTCTGTATAAATGCAGCTAAACAACCACAGGCCACAGCTATCAAATGTCGCTTTTCTCGTCCACAGGGCTAGACGTGGGAGTGCAACTGACAGCTGTGTAGAGTGTGAGGGGGTTGTTAGTGAACAAATCAAAAAAACAAACATGAAACGTCTGGCTGTTGGTACTTTAGAGGACGTACAAGACACGTTAGAAAGCAAATAGCTGTAGCTTTAGTCACCTTTTTAACAACCCACATTTAGGCCTATGCTGTTGAATGCAGATGGTCCTCCTCAGACATTGTGTTTTTTAGTATATAAAAACACTCACACCTTGTTAATCTATGCAGGTTGTAGACCTCTGCCTTGTGATCTCAGTTTTGTTGTCTTGTGTCTTGCTTCATTTGTGGTTGCTTAATTGTGCTGTATTGAATTCCAGGACAGTTCTACCTCCCAACACCCAACCTATGCCCCAGGCTATGCTTTCTGCTATTGCATAAATAGCTATAGCTAAGATACCTGAAGGGTTGTGTCATATTCTGCTAGATCTTAAACTTATGTATACCTGTTGAGTCCCTGTTTGTTGGAGCTATAGTTATTTTCTGTTTTTGGGGACAGCACAGCAGCAGGCTGTCTGATCAGACGAGTGAAAGTATGACTGGAAGCATGTGCCGCTGTTGTGTCATCGTCAGCCTTCCCCTATTTGCATCCAGAGCTCGGTGTTTTGCTTAACTTATTCCATGTGGTCAGCACTCGCTGTCAGATACCGTGACTGTGAAATAACTTGTAATACACCTCATAAGAATATATATGTGCTGTTTAGGTTTACATATTGTTCCCATGTCTCCTGTCTCCCATATCTTTGGGCATAATGGGAAAATAATCTGTTTCACAGTAATAGAAACACCTGGCTCAAAAATCCATATATAGCAGGAGATTTGGAAAATAACAAGTCAGGTTGTCTAGTTGATATTCAACACTTTGGGCTGCATGGTAATGGGGAGTCAAACTGAGCGTTTCCAAAATCATTATGGGAGAAATCTGACTTAATGGTTGTATCATGATTTAAATTGGGAACAAAATCCCATTATACAATTTGCAATGATAGGCAATAATAACAGATCCAACCTCCTTTTTATCCGTAATGTTTTAAATGGCCAGTAAAACACCTTTATTTTCCTTTCGTTTTACTTTATTTCACATTTTCTGCAGAAATGCATCTAGGAGTCGTGATTAGAGCAGCAGCCAGAGGAGCAAAGTAGCTGTCAAATATATATTTACAGTACAAATAAACACAAGCAGCACTGCATTAATTTTTAAATTTGACTAATGTTTCCACTTACGAGTTTTTTTTAAGTTTGTTGATGCAAAATCAAGTGAACTTTAAATGTTTTGAAAGTAAGAACAGATACATTAATCCATGTCTGGACAGCTCTGGCTGTAAAATGTTATATCATGGCTGTTTGAATCTTCTCTCCTTTCATACCACAAATTCTTTTTGTATCTGACAGCAGACACATTTTATCTAAGTAGCTTACATTCAGAGGAATTTATATAAAAACATGCAGCAAAAAAATCGTGGGTGTCTAATAGCAAAATCCTTTGCTCTTAGTTCCTGGAAGAATTCAGAGATGTGAGGCTTTGTGAGACCCCAGAGACGCAGCAGTTTGGATCAATGTATTTGTGAATGTCTAAACGTTAGCTTTGGTGCAGTGCACTGCTCACTGAGGTAGAGCCATAAAAAGGCTTGTAAGAAAAGGCTTGTTTGTGTAAAAAAAATTGCCATTTTATAAAATGAAACTGTAAATCTGTGAGCGCAGGGAAAAACAGTGAGAATAGGAAGGCGTGAAGGGGAGAGTGCATGCTGCAGTCCCACCCTGTAAAACTTGACTTTATATATGATGTCAAAAACATTTACTCCTCAAATAACTTCGCTCACAGATAAATTGGTGTGTTATCTCAGTGTTGATTTGGTACAAACACATCATTTACTTGAGCAAACTAATCCTTGAATGACTTGAAATAGAGAAATAAAATAGCTGCAAGTACCTGGATTTCTCAAGTTTAGTATCTATTGAATGTTTTGTCGTTTTCATTTGCAAAGAGCAAAGTAAATTGACTAAGCAAACCTCTGTCTTACGGTATAAATGTCAATCTGAGTTTTAGTTCTTAAATCTGAAGTTTTTTAAATTATTTTTAAGCCTGGATGGGATCATGTGTTTGGTCATGTGCGTGAGTGTGTGTATCTGCCTGTCTGCAGCCTAATCTTACGTACTACTTGACCCATCAGCCTAATATTTCTTGTGCACATTTATGACTGTATCCTCAAGGACCTCTTGTGGTTGCAGTGATTCCCGCTTTTAGAGAAACCTATTGTATTGACTGCTCTGTTATACCGTCATTGACTGCCGACTTCTCACTCCTCTTAACTGGCCAGTAGGGACCAACAACAGCTTCAGTTTCAAATCTTGTCTCTGGTTGGCACAACTGAAACGGCAGTCAGGCTAATGCTGTCAGATTATTTTGTGTCTGAGTATTGTCTCCATATAGCCTGTATACTCTGGTTGCACGTTGATAATGTAACCTGTATACTGTCTTCCCTTCATAGAGTGCTCCAGGGACGTCATTTGTTTGTAGGCTGACGCGGAATTTAGAGTCACCTTGGTTTCCTTGTCAAAAACCCCGATGGGATTTTTTAATTGGATTTTGTATAATTTCAGAAAATGTGGCAAACAAACATTTATGATACTTACACATTTTGTCACAAATTAACAAAACTTTTATTATTTTAAGTGTAAATGCAGTTGCCAGAAGTAAAAAGCTAACGTTAGGCTTTAAACAATCGGCATCACAACGAGGCTGTGAAGCTGTGTTCAGCATGATGACGTTCTGTAGTCTCATTTAGCCACTTGCTAGCTGCCACCTTTTTTGAGACACATAAAAGCTTCAAAATTCATAAGGGAAGTATTATGTCGTAGAGCAATATGTGAAAGTTTCTAAGGCTTGTGTTAACCACAAACCTTATTTCAGGCATGTAACCAAAAACCCATTGATTTCAAGACGAGGGAACCGGGAGTGCTAAAATGCTAACTCATTTCTAGGTTTTATGACTCATTCCTGGAGCATTTATTCTGCTGTCATACATACACGCTGGACACCCAACCTGCCCTCCACTCCCTGTTTTCCCACCCACATGCCCCAGGACACACATGGTAGAGATCTGCCTTCTACTGAGAGCTTTTTTCTAGTTTAGTTAATGTAATATTTCAGTGTTATATTGCATTAAAATAATATAATTGAATCAAGACTTTGATAAAATAGATTCAATTGGAAGAAGAGCATGTGGCTCAGTGTACTTCTTGTTAAAGGAGTAAAATAATATGACAACAGTGAGTGATAATGGGCTGTGTGACTGATGTGAGGGATTTTACAAACTACCTGTATACCGCTGAACTCTTGATATATTGACACTTTTATCAAATCGAGCACACAGCTTCAGTTGATCCAGTGTAGATAAGCAAATGGACCTCCAGGATGGCCTCTTCTGGATTATGTAGCTGGCCTATGAAGGTTATTAGCACAGATACTTCAGCAGACAACATGTGAAAATGTTTTGATGATGTCAGCTCATTTAAACGCTTCTTCTGCCAAAAGTAAAAAATACAGATGCGAAAAGGGGCGCTCTTGTAAATCCGACCATCCTCTGTCTTACTTCCTTATCTCTGCAGCAGTCCCAATACTACAATAATGTATTTTTGCTGCTACTTACAGTGACAGCTACCTCATTAAAGCCGTAGCTGCTACTGTGGTGACTTTATCAGCACTACTCTCTTCTATTCTGTTGTACTCCATTCTGACAGGCTGATCAGTGCAGACAGGCTGCAAAAGGCTGTTGTTGTTTTCTTGATGAGAATGGAGTTGTGCAATGCCCTTAGCGTGGTGTCAACTGTAGCGTAGCCTCTGTGGTTTACAGCCAGAGGCAATAGTTTTCTACTCTGAGTGGGAGAGAGAGAAAGGCTGAGAGCGGGGGGGGGGGGGGGGGGGGGGGGGGGGGGGGGGGGGGGGGGGGGGGGGGGGGGGGGGGGGGGGGGGGGGGGGGGGATGTGGGATGTGTGAGAGTAGGAGGGAGAAGATCTGTGGAGTGTTTATGCAAGTGAAAATGTTTTAAGCAGCTCTAGTGGCAGATGTTTCAGTAGTGTTTTAATAACAGGTTCTAGTTTGGGGTCATTATTTGTGGATGTGAAAGATTAAAGTTGGGTTTGAAGCTAGGTCATTTCTGGTGACATTGAGGAAGTATTTCTGCCTAGAGGTTTGTTTGAAACCAGGAAGAGCAAGTCTCTAACAAAATCAGCATGTGTGGTGATGTGTATGTTGTCGTACTTTTGTTAAACATTTAGCCGTATAGCCGTATTGGACGAATGCGCGGGTCATTTTCAAGGGTAATAGTGCTTCAGCAGTCTGCTCACATTCATGTTTTTAACACCCAAGAAACATTCAATACATGCTAAAAGCCTTTTCTACTGGAAGCACTGCTAATGCTGGCTCAAAATTGTGTATCAGTGCCTTAAATGTTACATTTATCACTCGTGAGTTTTACACTCAGAGCGAAGGAGAGAGAGAGAATAATGCCAGGATTGGTGTTGTGTTGCTTTTGTTAATAGCATCCTACTTGTAGCCAGCGTTTTGGACACAACTCTGCCAGGAACAAATTGGATTATGTGATTAGAAGAAATTATGTGAAGTGGCAGAACACACACTGAGCAGCAGTGAATCAAACCAATAAGATGTCTGAGTCAAAGTGAAAGCCAAAATGTTATGACTTAATAGCTCAGACAGTTTATTAGTATACAGTTGTTTTATACTGTGAGTGAAAAAAATATCGCTTCCAGTATCAGTACTAAGCTGCAACTGCTGGACTCTTTTGACTCACAAAGCATAACATGAAGGAAATTAAGTAGATACTCACAACAAAAAAAATCAACATGCATAACAGTTTTATACTAAAACTGATGATGAATTCAAAAACATCTCAAATTTAGTTGGTTGTTGCTTTTCAAGTGGCAATTTGGGTTAAATCTGTGTCTCTAACATCATTTCCTCAAAAAAATGTAAAAAAAGAAAAAGAAAAAAAACTGCATTAATTTCACAATTTTGTTCAATTTTGTGCTATCTGTAACAAGTGGATAATATGAAAATTCTATCTTTTATCTTACATACATTATGAGACAAAGCCTCGGCATTCAAATTCGCACCACAGTCCTGATTTGTGTCTGTTGCTTAGTAACGGATCACAGCGAAGCATCGGGATATTGGACATTTCGTCAGATTGCTCATTTCTGTGTCATTTTTACGTGAGATTATTGTAAAGGGTGAGTGAAGAGATGGGGCAGAGAAGTGGTGAGTAGAAGGTGATGTGAAGGTGAATATTAGGAGACAGATTTGGGAGTTAAATGAGGCCAGTGGGTGAAGTTATTACAGCATGACAGAGCAGATATATTCTGCCAAGTCATGATTCTCGCCCCGCTCTGACTGTCTGGAATGTAGCTCATATTAAATCCTCCTGATTCATTAGAGCTGCTGCACAGTCACTGGTTGGTCAGCGCCGACATGTACAACAGTGAATGTGCTTAGTGTGATTAGAAATTGACTCCTGTCAGTCAACAACCTGATTGGAGAGTTCTCAAGTGATCAAAGTCCTCTTTGATGTGTTGGTGAGTTGTAGCACTAAAATAATTTTTCATTGAGTAAACTGAAAATGAACTGAGGATCATGTTGGTTAATAATGTGAGTAATTTATAACTAATGGAGTCTTCTTCCTGTCAGCGGCTACATTTCTCAATCATGATGTGATTTGATTTCCTTCCTCTGTTGAGCTCTGCTCTCTTGTTATTGTACTCTTTTCGAACTCATCCCGTCTGCCTTCTTCATAACCTTTGTCGCCTTCTACGCCTCTTTGTTCCTCTTTATTCTTTTTCGTTTTTGCACTCCCTTTTTCATCTGTCTCTGTTGTGTTGTGGAGGGATAAGGAGCTCATGAAACTGGACTTGAAGTAGATAACAGTATATATGAAGTGCAGTAGCTCATTTCCATATATACAAGTCAGCGTTTCCCTTTGATCAACTTTCTTGGAGGGGTGGTGAGGACATTAGAAATATTTCAAGGCACAAATGTGGGACTTTAATTTTGGCAATTTTCCAAACTGATACAGTAAAAATGCTTGATTTTTGAGTCTGTGTGTTGTTAGACTCACAAGTCAGTCTTTAGACGCTTTGCTTAACTAAAGACTGATGACTTTGTCCCTGATTTTGTGTTTAGATGGGCGGATACAATTTCAGAGTTTAAAAAACTCCCTGCTTTGCAGAACCAATAGTAAATCTGCAGGGCGGTCCTTCGGTGGCTCGCTGAACTCTTGTGCTTGTAAACAATCCCAGCCTATCCCAGCTGACACTGGGCCAGAGGTGGGGTACACCCTGGACAGGTTGCGAGTGTATAGCAGGGCTGACACATGGAGACAGACAACCATTCATGCACACATTCACACGTACGGGCAATTTAGAGTCAATTGGGCTGTGGGAGGAAGCCGGAGTACCTAAGCGACAATGCTAACCACCGTGCCACCCACATTATTTGATGTTAAATGTCAAGTTTATGTCCTAAAAACTATGCATTTATTTACTATAAAGAACGATTGAATAAAATCAGTAATTCCTTATTAGTCAGGAGGGGCTGGGGGTCCGATAGGCGGGGCAGGCCGCTCCCCCAGTATAATCGTCAGGGAACACTGCAAGTAGAAAGAGTTTATCAGTGCATGTCTTAAAGACGAATCGTAAATTGTGAGTATACCAGTGGCATGGGCAATTAATTGCAAAATGGTCACATTCAGGAAGAGAAACCACATTTGCATACTTTCAGCTGCGGAAAAATCTTTCAGTAATTCAGCTACTACAGTATAATTTCCAATCATGCTGTGGGACAGTGGCTCTCATTGATGCCACGACCGTAACACTGTGTTATATATACACATATTTATCTAAGTAAAATCTTGTTTTCTCTCTCCCTTTCCCCCCTCACCCTTCTCTGTTACAGATATTCCCAGTATCACATACTACGCTGGTGAGTATGTTTTCTTTTAAGACAGGCGAGTACTGTTGAACTTCCTGTCGACTAATGGTTTTCACTTGTGTGTAAAGATGTTTAAATGCATCACTAGATGACAACTAGTTTACAGTACATAGCTGTAAGTTTGTGTGTATATGATTCCTGCATCACACTTAAAAGAACAGGTATAATGTCAGCCACCTAATGGAAACAGCAGTATCCTTTCATTTTTATTTTTCACGGTCATAAGGAGAGATTTACCACTATTTTATCTTTCACATGGTGTGATGTTCTCTGGTCTTGACACACGCTTGAAGAGGGCTTATACTATTAAGAGCTCACTAATTTCATAGGTATAGATAAGATATTTTATGGCCCTTAGCTCCAGTCTCTCTCCATGGCTGTTGCTAGGTAACTGTTGATCCTATGTTTTCAAGGAGGATGTTGTATATTTGGAGCTGAGAACTTGTCATTCCTGAAAAGGACAGACACATCATTTACATTTCTTGACCTTAACTTTGGCTAGACTCCACTGGGAGATATGTTTCCAAAGTTGGGGTTAAGATTGAGGTTAACAGAAACTTCTAATGAGATGGTGCTGTCTAACCTTGCCAGGAAGTAACAGTGGCACGGCACTCAGTTTGCAGACTAGGCAAAGTGAACATCTGCGGCCAATAACAGCGCTGCGGATACTCTCGTTCTCAGCACTGCTGATAAGGATCACAAGTAAATTTTTAGTGGAGAGCACACTGAACATAACATTCAGCCGCTGTAACTCTGTTAGGACAGAATTTATATCATGCCGTAATTTCATGTGGTGATAAAGACAGATCTGGAGTCATGGCTCAATAAGCACCACATGTGGTTTAAAATCTTGTAAATAAAAGAAGACTAAAGAAAGCTAAGACTAAATAACTGATATAAAGTATATATGCACATTATTTTGTCTTGATGATTTCATATTGCTTATTCTTGTGTCATTTGACATGAGGATGTACTAAAGAGTGATGTCTGGTCAAAATTGGCTTTTGGTGCAGTAAAGTACATGATGTATTGGTTCTGAGCCCAAAAGATGGCACAAACATTAGTTAATTAACCGTGATTCTTGTTGAGACTGACCTCCCAAGAAAAATGACAATATCATTAAAAAACAGCAAAGTCTATTAATGTTAAAGTGACAAAGTGACTGCAGCAAAGGAGCAAGTCAGACAATCTTCAATGTCCATCAAGAGAGGAGGTCCGTGCATAGACTGGGGGTCAGTGTGGGCTGATGGGTCAACAAATTATTGGGTTTAAACATGGGTGATGGCTGTTAGTTTCCCATTGCCAGCAGACATTGGTAAACATGACCCTAACCTTAGCCATGTGATTATTATCGTAAGCATGAAGATAAAGGTCCCCAAACTTTAACCATATTATTGTCACATCATCACACATGTTCAACACTAATTTGTAGGGCTGGGCACTATGATGGTTTATACAGTAATTAGAGATTAGAGATCTGGCAGTACCATTCCCGTTATTAGTTATTCAAAGCAGGCTAATTCTAAGGTGTCTAAGGAATTGTGCTGCCTCGAAAGGTAGTGTTATTTGGGCAAACATGGAGGAGGAGGGTAGAGTTGTCAATACAGAAACTTGTAATGCTTGAAATTGTTGTTCTCAGAAACCTTTAAGGTTACATTTTGAAAGAATTTTAGTTTTACTGTTTTGAGTCTTTGCTGTCTCATGTGAGGCAGCAGCTGTTTTTTTTTTTTATGGAAGTTCTAAATAAATGGAGAAAAAAATCAGATGTGATTAAGTATGGTATGTTTTTTTTAAATTTAGAACATGTCTTTATCACAGAACAATTACTGTGCTATGATTTATACTGAAACAGGGAGAAAAATAAACATATATCCTCCTGAAAGGCAAATCAGGTGAGAAGACGCTTCTATAAGTCGCTCTAAGGTGCGGTTGCAAAAAGCGTATCTTGTCTTTAATTTGGAGGACTTATTATTGAATAACTGAACATATACCTACATGCTCTCCATCAGTTTGTGTCACAAGAGAATCACGATATGATTGCTGTCAGTGTTTTGCAGCTGGAAGCCCACCTGAAAGCGTTCATGTTCATCTTGTGCTCTGGGACATGAGAGGAATTGAATGTCAGGGTGCTTTATTAGAAGAGCTGACATGCTGCAGGAGCAGATGAAATATGTTTGAGCGTGAGGACAGAGGGCAGCAGAGACCTGCTGAGGGCAGTACAGAGAGAGACAGACGGACAGCGAAAGGGGGACGGATAATGAAAATGAAGGAGAAAGGGAAACAAGTGTTGTAAGGGGTCAAACAGTGGAATGTGTGTTTTCAGTGGCTAAACTTAAATCCTGGTAAAACCTTGTGTGCATGTCGGGTTTGAGTGTTCATGTGAGCACTGGCTGTTTATTAAAGTTGGAGTGTTGATTACGAGTTTGTTCCTATTAGCATACTTATAAGTACCGTCTAATCAGTTTGGCTACTTTCTACTGCATCAAGTCTCAATTACAGTATTTATTCCTTCTGTCTCTCTGCTGCTCTGCCCTACACACACACACACACACACACACACACATGCCCTCTTCACTTCTGCCTGTAAGTGAGCGGAGCAGCTTTTTCGCAGCGTGGTCACAGCAACCTATACTGAAAACACAGCAGAGGAGAAACACTTGGCTCACACGCACATGCTCACTTTTCCGATTTTATCGCACATACTCCTTTTGCTGAGCTGACACTTACACACACTTTCCCACGCACACACATACGCATGCACACAATCGCCTACCTGCTTAGTCACATGCACTTTTGTATACGTACAGCCTCTCTCTGGCTTCCACACATAACTCCCTCACTGTATAGCCTCTTTGGTGCACTCTTCTCGACTGCTCAAGGTTTGCACTGGATGTTCAGTGTGTGTGCGTGTGTGTGTGTGTGTGTTTGGCTGTGGCAGTGTGTGTGTGTGAGAGGAAGAAAGACCGGGAGGATGTTGTGATCTAGTCGCCCTTCCGCTGCTCCAGAAGAAAGCCTTCAGAAACCAAACCACGCGACGCACACAGCTGACTGACTTCGAAACGGATTTACCGCATCAATTTTTTTTTCTTCCTGCAACCCACATCTTTTTCTCTTCGTAGTCTTCCTTCAATCCTGCGTGGCTTCACATCACAGCCTTTTTTAGTTCCTGACATTTTTTTTGTCTGCTTCACCTTTCCCTTTAGGTCGCTGTCACTTTATGTCGCTCTCTGACATCAGACACCTGCTTTGACCTGGTTAACTCCTGCAGGCTCAGAGCATTGTGGGAAAGCTTTGGAGGATGCGAGGCTCAGCTTCTCCCCAGGGTTTCTCCACTTTCTCTCTTCACGCAGCTCTCTTTTTTTCTTCTGCTTTCCCTTTCTAATGCATATTTTCTTTTTCATTCTTTCTTTCTTTTATTGATCATTCTGTTCTTATTCAACTCTTCCTTTAATCTGTTGTCTTTCTTCTTTTTTCTCTTGCTCTCCTTTATCCCTCCTGCATCGGTCACTATAACTACCTCTCCCTCAAGTTGCTCCATTTCTCTACGCCCCTCTTTGCCCTACATTTTTGTCTCTTTCTCTGCTGATGCCAGTTCCTCTTTTCATCGTTCTCTCATCCATCCTACCATCTCCTTTGGACAAAATTTTGGATTTACAGAACAATTCTACTACTTTTCCTGGACATTGGTATCGGTAATTTGATGTAACTATATGGAGTCTTTGCCAGCAAGGGATGTCCATGTTGTTTTGTAACCTGGATGATTTATACACAATGCCAAACCCTGTGATTTTAGATTTATGGCTGCAGGGAAGGCATCTTCTTTGAATTTCACATCAACGATTGATTAATTGGATCAGCAGCTCTGCACTGAAGAACTGAATTTGATAATCTGTGAGGATTTATGGGACCGCAGGATGACCTAATGGGTAGAGAAATCATCGCCCCGCCGCAGAGGCCAGGCATGAATGTCAGTTTTGGGAAACTTTCGCCGTGCTGAGGTGTCCTCAAGCAACTTGCTGAATCCTCTCCACCCACATGGGCTTTTTCTACTCGGAGTGAAGGAGGAAAAAAGAACTTCCTGAAAGGGATCATTAGGTTACATATTACATTGCACAATGGTAAACGTATTTTACTGGGTTAAAGGTCATGACATGTATTGGATGGATTGATACTAACACCTGGACCCCGAGCTACTTTCCCACGTTGTAACGTAACATGATGTTTCAGCAAGCTTAAAGCAGAGAGTGACTGGCAGTATTGTGATCAGTAGCTTGGATTACTGTACCACAAACTGCGCCTCCAGTTTTTATTGTCATTTGTTTCAGCATTAGTTTGTTTTTTGTTGCCGAAGAAGGCCTGACTTTGACATTAACGTTGATTTGGACAGCTTCTGTATGCAGGATCACTGTGGATATGAGAAGCTGAGTCAGACCTTTATCTCAGTGTTATTTAAATCTCTATCAAGTGGACTTGGACCATGATGATGGATGTCGAGCGTTGTGGCTACTAGAGCATAGGCAGTCAGATTGGTATATTCTCTACCTCCTATGGGGATACTTGCTGTGTCATCACTTTTTACAGTACAAAGGATATTTGACATCCTCTGTTTCCTCTCACTGGGCTCTTTTCCTTTCTGGAGTTACTTACAGCCTTGGGACTTCTGCTCTGATTGATTTTTTTCTATTGAGCTTCCTGTGGCTATCTTGTGAGGTGGCTAAAAGTTGCACAATGGATTTATCACCCCTGTAACCAGCGTCAGCCCAGTTACTAGCTTAGCAGGTCTCAGCTGCTAACTGTTTTGGAGACATTTAGGATACGTCCATTTGCATTTCCTTGGATTATTTAAATTTATATACCAGGAATTTTTCATAGTTACAAAACACCAGCGAAGCATCCAGTCCTACTTGGCTCTATGCTGTTTTGGGGGCCCAGCAGGTTTGTCCGGGCCCTGTGGCCAGACCTTGAACAGCTCCCCCTACAACACAAATGGA